ACTATCAGTCGAACAAATACGCTCATTTGTTAAGGTCTAAAAAAATTATTGTGAAATAAATTTCCTGTTTCCTATTAAAATGGAAATAGTTAATATTTTAATGCTCAGGTTGTATCTTTTCACACAATTTTTACCTTTTTGGGGCTGTGAATATGATATGATTTTTACCTCCGTTGTTCCCTTATGTTTTACTGTGATTTTGAAATCATCAGTCATCTTAGCGATTTGCAAAAAGACGTGGAACCTTCTATTTAATGGTCTGTAGAGTTTGGACATTGATGCATAATAATAAAAAAGAAAAACTTGAAACGGAAGCTTGACAATTCTCCCGTTCCTAATCTGATGTATTGACCTCTGTTACGTAACGTGTTATTTAGTTACATAATTTGAAGAGATGGACAAACTTTGAAGTATTTTAGACTGTGATATTGGTGGTTCATAATGTGCAACCAAGTTAAAAAAAAAACATCTCCCCCCTAGTCATCATAAAAATAAATACAGAGAGGAAAAGCAGCTTGTATTCCATTTTCATCTAATATCGTTTTTAACTAGGTAACCCAGTATATATATATCCTCATTTTGCGAAATTAAGGGTGTGTGTGTGTGTGTTCAGCTCTGAAAATATATCAACAACGTTAAAAGCCAGTAAGAATTAGAAGTAATATAACTTAAGCCTAATGTTATAACTAAGGTAAGCCATAATGTGTGTGTGTATTTTTCTTATAGCAAAGCTACCGAGGGGAATCGAATCCCTGATTTTAGCATTGTAAATCCGAACTAGAATAAATCTAATGTTATAACTAAGATAAGCCTAGTGTTATAGCTAAGAAAACGAAAAAAAAACAAAACAAGCAGAATACTATCATGTAAGTAATAAACTTTTAATGCCAACATTTCAAACCTGTCCAAGAAAAAAAAACTGTTTGCACCAAGCGTCGTTATTAAAACTTTTTACTCAATTATATTACTCTGGATATTTTTCTTGATTTTTAAAATAACCTTCGTTTTTTTTTTCGAAACAAATCTTATAATTTATTTTGCCACAATGTCGTTTGAATGTTTATCACTGAGCAAAGAAAATGTCCGAGAAAAATAAAAAGATGAAAAAGTTTTTTGGATTTAGCTGTTTTGAATATATTTCAAAACACTCAACTTACTT